CATAAGAAAACAAACAACAAATAAACAAGCTAATTAAAAATTGGGCAAGGTTCTGGCCGCATCAATGTTGTCTTCATGCGGCTTGCCAACAGGAATGTCTTGCAGGGAGTGTAGCCGAGAATTCCGCCTCTAGTGAGCTATTTATCTCCTCAGTGCTTCCAAATAAGACCATCAGGCTGCGACCTGATTGACAGGCTAAACTCCACCCCTTCTCTCATCATCGTCTCAAGTTGGCATCAGAGTATGACACTGCCACAAACTGTTAAATTCAGAGCTGGCAATCTGAAATGGAAATCCCTCATCTAATTCCCAGTTAAAAAATTCAAAAAATCAAGATGAGGATGGTGAGCTGTTGTTTCCTGTAATTTGAGTATGCAACGAGGAGAAAAAAGGACAAAATACTTGATAAAATAGAGGGCAGGTTAAGAAACAAGACCCTAAAAGAAATGGTTTGACAGTGGCTGCAACAATGGGCTCAAACGTAGTACCGTGAGGATGGTACAGGATCTGGCAGGGCTTTGATCTGTTATACATAAAATTGATACGAGTTGGAACTGACTCTTGGGCAAAAAACAGCAACAGCAAATTGCTTAAACATTGTTAGGATTCTTGGTTTTGCGATACAAAATAGAAAAGGAGGCAGCAGTTGGTAATATGATGCTGAGTCAGGAGATGCGGGAGTTAAACACTGCTCCTTGCCCCATTTTATAAAGTGTGTTATAGCTAGTGCCACAAATTTGATTTGAACACTTTCTATTTTTCCCAGCAATGATGTTATTACAGGTCAATCATTTCCATAAGTGAGAGCACATTTCTGGTGCATACTACGCTGACAGATGGCTAGAAGACCGCTCTTTCATGATCCCAGGTGGGCTAAAAAGGCAATTTACTATCTATAGGACTGTGGGTACAGCGGTTTAGAAGAGAATCATTCTTATACAAATAACTCGGTGTTTGAATCTGAACTATCAAATGAATCTGAGCTATAGCCAAATCAATTTGATAAACCATCAGAATATGATTGTACTGGCTCCAGCCTGCAAAGGCAATGCATTAAAATTTCCCCACAGGAAACAGTTTCCCAAGGAAACATCAATTGCTCAATTGCTTTAAAAAAAAAAAGAAAAAGCTCAAGTGATTTCAGAATATCAGGTGAAAACACAGATGGCTGCTGATGTTCAAGGTCAAGACTCATGAGGAGGAAACCCGGAGGTTGGGCTATTCCTGTGAAATTCAATGGAGCTTGTCTGTGTGCTCCTGACTTTCTTTCTCTACATCAATTTCAATTTGCGATGGACCATCTCACCCTTGACCCCTCGGAGGCTCTGTATTCTTCACTCAACTTGAAAAGTTGCCTTCTAGAAAGGTTGGTGCCTGGCTCTGAACTCTCCTAGGGTCCCTTACACAAATCTATTGGAACATATGTCTGAGCCAGCACAGGAGGGTCACCACAGTTATCTTGTAGAGGAGAGATTTAGAGGGAGGCTCCCCAATTGCCATCATTGGTTCTAGAGCAGCCAGTGATTCTCAGAGGGCCCCAGACCAGCAGCCATGGCTGCCGGGAGTTTACTAGAAATGCCAAATCGATATCCCTTCCTGATCTGTGACGTGCAGAAGCAGAGTCTTTCTGGATAAGGACCAGATACTTGAGCTTTTACAAGCCCGTTAGGTGATTTCGATGCACGCTCAAGTTTAGAACAATTTTCCTAGGGCAAGGGTTGGGAAATTATGGCTCTAGGTCCATAAGAGGATTTTTCAGTATGTACGTGTGGCTATGAAATAAAATTGAAAAAAATTAAAGGACATTAGATTATCCAGGTGAATTCTACTCAGGGATTTACCCTCAGTTAAGGAAGCCACCTCACCCAAGATTTACTCCTTTCCCCAGGGACAGCCTATATCCAGGGGTTCTCTTTGCAGAGGCAGGAAAAATAGGGCCATCCTAATTCTCGAGCGTCCCATGGGATTGCCCATGACTTCTATCGCTCATTCATTGCAATCCATCGACTTCTATCCAGCACTCTTCAGCCAATTTCCAACATGGCAATCTCCACAACACTGTCTGCTTTTGGCGGGGAGGAATTTGTTGTGGCCTGCACACACTCCTACCCTGACCCATTGATGCTGAGTATCCGAGGTGACCTCATTGTATGCATATTTAGGTAAGCAGTTCTCATTCTGTGACTTATCTGGTGCTGGAACATCAACTTGCAAACATGGGATAGGCCATAAAGTCCCAGGTCAGTAAGCGGAAGGGCTGTAATCACATCTGTGAATGAACCTGCAAGCCACAGAAAGGGAGCATTGTTGTTAAAGTCCTCTGTGCTTTTGCCCTGGAGGGGAGGGAATCCGCAGTTAGAGACGCGGCTGTTAGCCTGGGATGACACATCTCTCCTTGGGCATTAAGATGGAAAGGTCTGAGATTATACTCTCACTCTCTTCCCTTCTCACTCACGGGAAGTATTTCATAGTTCTTGTTAGGGTTTCCGAAAATTGCATTCACTCCTTTCTAGCCAGATAAGTTTCTGTGGTATAAGGGATGAAGCAAGGTGCCTGTGACTCTTGAATCCTTGGGGATGGATCCTTTGGAATGGCTTCTGAGAGTGACATAACTCCTTTTGCCTAGATTCATAGAGGGGATGGCTGGGGATGAATGCTTTGTGTTCTTCTAGCAATCTACTTTAGAGACACACGGTGCTGTGCTTCAGCATGGGACCTACCTGTGCAGCCCCAGGAGATATGCTTCTGGGCCTGTTGACAGAACATTTGCTTGGGTTCTTAGGCAGGGCAGTTGTTGCTTACAGATCTTTTCCCCACTAACTCAGCTCATCACCAATTGCCAAGGGCCTTGTGAATAATTTTTAGATGCTCAAGCTAACATATTTATATACTTTAGGCAACAAGGTATGGTGGAAAGATGTGGAACTTTGGAACCTGATTCTGTCTTAGCTCTGCTATGTACTATGGTGGTATGATGTTTAGTAACTCACTTCCCTTCTTCGGTCTTGGTTTCTTCAGATGCCTGAGGAACAAGTTGAAGGCCCTGTTCAACTTGAATATGTTCTCTGGAGCAGATAGTGGGTTGAGGTACTGTAGATCCAATATGGCAGCAGATTTAGGTTCCATATGGAAACATAAACAGGAGGGTTAGCCATGAACAGATAGAGGGGCTTAGGAAATGCAAAACCCTTAGAATTTGTTGTTAGATAAAAACACGGAACTATGGTTCTGTTGATCAAAGACATCAAAAGTACTTTCCATATTGTCCATATTATCTTCCAACCACTAAGAATGGGGTACAGGGTGCAATAGACATTCTACAGACTCTTCATACATGAGCGCACTGACAGCACGCTCAGCTCCCTCCAGCCCCTATGACTATGTCTGCTTTGTACATCTGAGCACAAATCATGACCTGCTCTAGTCAGCTGTATATTAGCTATTATCTTACTCATTAGAATATCAGCTTTCTGTGTGGGGAAGACCTTTCTTGTGTTTACTGCTCTGTCTTCTGCTCTATAAACGTGAATGGCACAGAGTTTTTGTTTAATAACTACCTAATGACTGGAGACTTTTTATTAATCTTCAAATAATATTAGGAGGTAGTAAGTTTCAAACAATATAAGGAGATAGGCATGCTCCTGAATATTGAGACGGTCAGGGAAGACAGTGAAGAGGAAGTGGGACTTGGAAAGGTGAGAAGAGAGTGATCAGTCACTTGTGTCGATCGAGCTGTGGGGAATGAGGGATCGGGGAATGAGGAATCGGTGATAAAAGGAGCGGTGTGAGGCCCTGAAGGCATCCCAAGGGATTCTGGAATCAAGGCAAAGAGGATCCAAAAGTAACTGCATGGCTAGGTCACTGGATGGAGGGAAACATCTAGATCATTTAAAAAATAATATTTTATTATGTCATCAATGAGGGTTTACACAACAAATTAGGTTCTCAATGGGAAATTTACACACGAACTGTTCCGTGGCATTAATGCTATTTTCCACAGCGTGTCAGCACTCTCTCTCATTGTGTTTGGGCTGTTCCAGGGTCTCTGGAGCGCTAGCTTTCCTGCTGTTTACCTTCTTGTTGGCTTTTAGACTCCTTGTCCACCTTTTGGTCTTCTGTGAATGGACGTTTCATGGAGTGCCATACTCGTGGGTACTATCGTTTATTTTGTGATTCGATCTGTTATTTCAATAAAAGGTGAACTCAAGTGAGTTTCAGTTCAACACTTAAAGAGCGTCTCGGGGGTGGTAGTCTCTGGAAAGTATCTAGTCTCAACATAGTAAGTCTGGAGCTATTCTGAACCACACCTTTTCCCTGTTTGATCAGTGCCCATTTATTGGGTCCCTAATCAAAATGATTGGTGGCAGTAGCCAGGTGTCTGATTTCTGGCCTCAGGGTAGATGAGATTGTGACGTGCAAAGACAGCCATATGGACTGATTTCTTCTCTGAGATATTGGTTTGAAATGCTTACATGATAAGGAGGGAGCTTTGTGATTTTTGTTGGAGAAATGTACAGCAGAGTGGTTGAAAGACTGTACGATGAGTCAAACTTGTTTGAGCTTAAGCACCTTCTCAGAAGCATAGACACCATAAGGGAGTGAATTTCGATCTCTCGCCAGCCTGAACAGAAGTCCTACCATTACTGAGAAGTGTTTTTCAGACCACACCCTTGGGCCTTCACGGAAGCCAATGTTTTCTTCTATAAAATGGGAATACTAGTTTTTACCATAGACCCAGAGGATTATTGGAAGATTAAACTAGAACATCCATTTTAAGATCTTAGAGCCCTGTCTGACGTATGGTAGGCGATCAGTAATTGTTGTTAGCTGTGGATCAGCACAGTATTGTTCCTATAGTCATCTTTTCACATGATCGCTGGCCTTGCCTTTGAAGTTTCTCTGAGCTGAATAAAGTGGATGTCAAGTTCATGTGCCTGCAAACATGCTTGTGCACGTGCACGCGTGCGCACATGCACACACAGAAATGAAAAGTTACTTACAGAATGATGGGTCCAGAGGATCCTTGGAAAACATCATTTGGCATTTCTTCCAAATTATTGTTGTCACTTAGATTCCTGCAGAATGAGGAAATGAGAGGGGGAACACAAAACCCCATAAAACTTTCTATTGCCAGAGCCCCTTCCTGCTGAGCGGTTTGGCAGAACAGTCAAGGTCACTTACAGCTCATCCAGTTGGGTTCCATTGAATGCACAGTTGTGTATTTCTTGAATCCCATTCTTACTCAGCCAGCTGAAATAAAAGGCCCGTTAAAAAAACCAATCATGTCACATGCAAACAATACAGGGGCTTCATAATTGGAAGCACTGGGGCAAGGTCAGATAGCACAAGTTTGCAACATAAATAAAACACCACCCTGCTGGCTGGGGGCCAGGTGGGAGGGAGCCTGATTTATAGTTGTATAAGCTTTTATGACTTTTAAAATTGGCAGTATGTGCATATATTACCTATTCAAAGAAATGAATGAAATAAAAAATTTAATAAAAGGCACACTTAGGCCTAGCTGTCTAGATCCTTTATGGTCTTGGCACATAGTATCCGGAAGGCAGAAGTCCTACAACTATTGACAAGTAGTTTTAAGACTGAAAAAGGATATTGGAGTCACCGTTGGCTAAGGCCTTAAAACCTTTCACCCAGGCTCTTCCACAACAGCAGGCTGGCTGTCATCAAAAAGTGACCCAATTAAGCTGTCAGACAACCTGAACATCTCCTGTGACCCGTAGGGGCCTGGTTATTGGAGGTTTGTGGCGGTGGCTCAGGGTTAAGCCAGAAAGGAAGAGAAATCAATTATAGAGGCTGTGGTCAGGACAAGGCCAAAGGAGGAGGCTCGGATTTTCATCCTGTGGGTGCACAGAGGGTCAGGGAGCAGGTTTGCCTGGGCTGACAGTGCCACATGGCTCCACTTCCAGGTGGATCTGAAAACATGAGCAGCTATCCGAGGTCGGGAGATCTTAGCCCCAAGATCCTCTGACCATCTGCTCCTGTTTTGCTGGCAGCCCCACTGAGTTTACCAATCACTTTGTTCTAAAACTCATCCAGAGAAGTAAGTACCTGTATTTTCAGGACTCTGAATACCTCCTAGATTGGGATCCGGAGCTAGGAGAGCACAGTACTTTGGTTTTGTCCTCTTGGAAGCCAGTTAGGTTAACCACAAGTCCAGAGTGAAGCAAGGCAAGAGATTTCTCTTGAAACATGAGAAACCAATGATGGGGGCTCTGAGTGCAAAGAGGAGTCCCTGGGCAGCACAGCTGTATAAGTAAGTACTTGGCTGCTAACTGAAGGCTGCAGGTTCTAGCTTATACAGAGATCCCTCAAAGGAAGGAACTGGTAACCTGCCTTTTTGTTTGTTTGTTTTTTTATAAAAACACAAACAACTACGGATTGAGAGAAAACCCGCTGGTGTCTGGCACACATGGGTCACCATTAGGAGCATGGTCAACCACAACTGGTAGTTGATAGCTATAGACCACAGAAGTGGCTATTTCCCCACCACAGATTAGGATCCCACCTCACCCTGAGAAAGCCTCCCAGCCCCTCATTTCTTCTATCTCATTGATGGGATCGTTCCAGCACAGAGATAATTGGGGGGCAGCTGCCGCTGACCCAAGAGATGAGGATCCCTGTCAAGGTTGGATCACACATAGGGTTGCTAGCTTTGTGTGTGAAGGTCCAGATAGTAAACGTTTTAGATTTTGTGAGACACAAAATCCTAGATAGTCTCCTCACAGGGTAAAACTGAGACTATTATATGAGTACTTATATGACAAGTGATAAAACACATCCCCATCGAATTCTTATTGACAAAATTCCATATACACTATTAATAATTGAGTAGTAAGTTTGGGAGGGGTGGGGCTACTCCAGCTCGACTATTAATAAGAACAAAATTTATTTGGGGGAAAGAAAATCATTTATTTAATTTGGATTTAAAGTTAGTGTGTCCTATTATCAAATTCTTTGTACATGTTTATTTGAAAACACAACAAAAAATCCAAATACTCATAGTTCTTGGACCATAGTTTCAAACTCCAAAAACCAAACTCATTGCCACTGAGTTGGGTCTGACTCACAGTGAATATGTAGGCCAGAGTAGAGCTGTTGCCTGAGTTTCTGACACTGTAAATCCTCATGAGAATAGAGAGCCTCATTTTTCTCTCAGAGGAGCTGTTGGTTTTAAATTGCTGCCCTTGAGGTTAGCAGTCTATTCTGTAACCCACTATTCCCTCCAGTGCTTATGGCCCTTAATCTAACACACAAAAACTCAAATCTGTTGCTGGCGGGTCAATTTTGACCACTGTATCGCCAGCCCTTTCTTCTGCAATAGCAGCACCTGCATTTGAAGTGCCACCTTTAGGTTAGCAGCCAATCACAAAACTATCTAGGAGCCTGTAATATAATAGAAGAGGCATGAAAAACCATATTGGTTTCAAATGTTTTTCTCCAGAGTAGATAATGTCTGTCCTTCACGGAGACCTTGCTATGATTAATTAAAAATACAGGCTAACAAAATGATTATTGCCTTCTGAATTACCCTTTTATTCATGTATTTTTTAAGTCAACAGACGCTATCAGATGGGGAGAAGCGGTAGCAATTTGAGTGTTAAATATGGTACAGGAGTCAAAAAACAAATTCTTCTCAGGATTCCTGTTCACCAATTATGCTAGGTTGTTGTGCTCTCAAACTACTCAAAACAAAAGACCGACATTTATTAAATACATCCCTCGTCCCCAACGAGACGTAGAGCCACCTGAAAGACAAATGCTACTGACAATGACCTCGACAACCCGGGCTAAGCACCAGCGAAGAAACAACTGGATTACTGGTGGGTTTACCTTAGACATATCTGTCACAGGGACAACAACAACAAAACAAATCAACCAACCATTAATTCACTGAACAGACATCTGGGGGCCTAAAGAGCTGCGCCTGCTTTTATACTACAGAGCAAAGGTGCTGGGAGGACCTGGTGCTTTAAAGATCTTAGAGGACAGGCAGAGGATGGACATCAACTGAGGAAGAAAGGAAAAGCCCCCACAGGGAGCCCCTCTCATGGCCAGTGGGTCAGTGGGTGTGTCAGGCGCTGCTATGAATGCGCCCCTATTTTCCCTTGTCTAACTTGTGCTCTTCTGATGGCTGGTCGTGGTTAGGTGCTTGACTCCTTTAGATTTTCCTCTTGCCGGGCAGAGCTGGGGCAGGGAAGAGCTTGGGCATCCTCATATGATCTACTTTTATTACTTTCTGTGTCATTAACCAATTTTCTGGTAATTCTTTTCTTTTAGACTGTTTTAAAATAACAATTCTATCCATCCATCCATTTATAGAACATGGTCTCAGGATTTTGAAAAATGCCAATCGATAGAAAGCTTTTTAGTCATCAGTGCCATTTGGCCAGGTTACTGATTTTTTTTTTTTTAATATTTTCGGAGTGCATATGGAGTCCCTCCTAGGAGAACATGCTCATATAGCACCCAGTTGAAGAGCAATTGAAGATGTAAGCTGTGTGGAGTATAAATCTCCTGATTCTATTATCTATGGATTAAGGGCCATCAGAGGTAAGAAAAATAGACATTCTCACAAACGTGAATTTATCCTTTAGAGTCTAAGAAGTGTTGACTCTTAAAAGAAAACTTTTCTCAATTGGAAATTATTGGACTAAATCCGGAGGAATCACATCGTGGCCTTGCATAGGAGTCAGAGAAAAGCAGAGGAGCTCTAGCAGGGGCAAGGACAAAGAATTGCTACTTGGGTCCAGCTCATATGGGCACAGGTTGATTTGCTTTAAAAGATGTGCTCCAACATGTCTCTGCAAGCAGCGGACAACGACAGGCACATCCACTCCCAGCCACACGCGTGTCTTCATCTCGTTAAAGAGCCTTAAAAATAATCCAAGCTAAATGGCGGTTTCCAAGGAGATCTGCTGGACCATTTAAATTTAAGAGAGAGTGGTCAGCTCAGAAGGTTATGGTGACTGCTTTTATAAACTTCCTAGGGGGGTAATATTCATAGGTCGTGGGGGCATATTATGAAGAAGTCTTAAGAATATTGAAAAATGCATACAAAGAAAAGGTATGTGCCCCTGAGTCCCACCTTCTCCCCCATCACAATAATGGATCTACTCCTGCTTCAAGGCTGTGCTAGGAGAATTTTCATTGGGAAACCTTACCACATCTAGCCCTGATCTTGCCCCTTCAGATTTCGTTCTTAAATCTGACCCTGGAGGGTGGGCATCAACACTGCTGTTTGGATGTGGTGTGCATCAAAGAGCACATAGTTTTATGGGGTAGAGCTAAAGATGGAAACACCTCTCTCAGAAGCATATACACTTCAATGGAGGGGATACAGAAAAATAATAGCTTCACATTTTGAAAATTTTGTTTATTAAATGTTTCTCCAATTGTGCAGCAATACCTTTTCATTTACCCTCCTAGTTATGGGGGGTATGGATTTGCAAGACTATATCAGAATTTCTAATTTCCTCAGCTCTTTGTCTCCAGTTGGCTTAGATGTCTTGCCTTAACTCTTATGATCTGAACTAAAAGGAAATCTGTTAATCAGGAAAGCTATGAGAATGATGTTGGCACACTCCCAATGAGTTCTAGCTCTTGAATACAAAGACATTTCCTTAATTATTAATAAATTTTCCATATTATAACATTAATTTTCAATCACTATCCTTCGAAATGATACATACGTTCAGAGCAAAATTGTAAGTTGCCCAGAGACAGCAGATTCCTCTCATCACTCCTTTCCCCCCAGGCTCCCAGCCGGGCACCCTTTCCCTGCTGCCTTTGTTTCAGAACCTCTCCGGCCAGCGCAACGCAGGCCACCATCAATTCCCAAATGCTTCCTGTGTACATATGCATTTAAAAATACTTTCTTCTCAAGCTGATGGTGCCCGGCTATCAAAAGATATAGCGTGTGGGGTCTTAAAGGTTTGAAGATAAACAAGTGGCCATCTAGCTCAGAAGCAACAAAGCCCACATGGAAGAAGCACACCAGCCTGTGTGACCACGAGCTGTCGAAGGGATCAGGAATCAAGCATCAAAGAACAAAAAATCATATCATTGTGAATGAGGGTGAGTGCAGAGTGGAGACTCAAAGCCCATTGGTAAGCAACTGGACACCCCCTTACTGAAGGGTTGTGGGGAGGAGATGAGCCAGTCAGGGTGCAGGGTAGCAATGATGAAACAAACAACTTTCCTCTGGTTCTTACATGCTTCCTCCCCCCACTATCATGATCCCAATTCTACCTTACAAATCTGGCTAGAGCAGAGGATGTACATTGGTACAGATAGGAACTGAAAACACAGGGAATCCAGGACAGATGACCCCTTCAGAACCAGTGGTGAGAGTGGTGATGCCTGGAGGGTGGAGGGAATGGGGTGGAAAGGGGGAAAGATTACAAGCATCTACGTTTAGCCTCCTCCTTGGGGGATGGACAGCAGAGAAGAAGGCAGGGGGAGACATTGGACAGTGTAACATAATACAAAATAATAATAATTTATGGATTATGAAGGGTTCATGAGGGAGGGGGAAATGAGGAGAGAGGGAGAAAATGAGGAGCCAATATTAAGGGCTCAAGTAGAAAGCAAATGTTTTGAGAATGATGATGGCAACAAATGTACATATGTGCTTGACACAATGGATAGATGTATGGTTTGTGATAAGATTTGTATGAGCCCCCAATTAAATGATTTTAAAAAAATAAGTAAAAATACTTTCTTTCCGTGGATTATTTGGTTTCCTCTGCTTGGCCTTTGCCAATTTCCTGACTAAAGCTCATTCATCTTTTAAAGCTTATGTTAATCACAGCCTCCTTTTTTTTTTCAATCATTTAATTCTTCCTCCAACTCTAACACTATAGGCCAGTCAGAATAAATGATTCCTTCTGAACTCTTAAAATCATCGTTTACTCTTTCATTTTGCACACATTTTACTCTAGTTGTATTTTAATTAGTTTGATTCTTTCTTTTGTTTTCCCCCTTTTCACACATCCACCACACACCCCTCCCCCTCCTCACATACCAAATATGACTTATTATCCTGTAAAAGGATTAGGAATTGCTCACCCATAGTTTTCGTCATAACACTATGTACATGCTTTTTATTTTATTTTTCCCTTAATAAATGCAATTCCTTTGCTAATCTGTTTTTAAAACTTCACTTTCATTTTCTTGCTGATGAACTTACGGCAGGATAGTGTTTACCCTTTCTCATCACGTGTCTTTCATATCTGTCTCCTATTCCCCCCTTCCTTTGTGTATTATTTTTAAAGCTGGCTTTCTGAATTATATCATGGCTTTCAAAACATGGTAAAATTATTTCTGGGCTGGAGCTTTCCATATATATATATATATGGCTGGAGCTTTCCATATATATATATATATCAGACAGTTTATAACAGATAAAATGCTTTCCTTAAAATTATAGTTGCTGGGCTCCCAAATGTCATTCTGTACCTTTGAATTGCATGGATCACACAAATACTTAGGTAATTCCCAGTCCCAGTTCTTTCTTGACCACCCTGGGCATTGGGTATTTTGCCTATCACCACAAAATGGAGATAGTAATTTACTAATGACACAGAATGCACATCAATTTTTCGCAATCGCCAAAGGAAGTCATTCTGGCTGATCATAATATGTGATTGAGAAGTCACAGTATGGGCACCATCGGCTGAGCAGGAGCGGGCTGGCATGGTTATGAGGGAGTGGTCATATCTTTTTGATTCAAAACCTTCCCAGGTTTTCTTCTTTGGGCAACAAAAGCCTTGCCAGACAATCGCTGGCTTCATTGATGCCTGAGATGTTCTGTCCTTTTGAACAGATGTTGCATCGCAGGAGACCATCGCTCAAAGAGCAACTCACAATACTCGAATCGTACCACAGAATCATAAATTATTAACATGACTCTATGATGTGACTCTGAAATGTAAAGATGGGAAATCAGAAAAAGCATAAAGCCCGAAAGTGATTTACATGGTGAAAAGCTAGTTACCTAAACCCCAGGAGTATGCCATAATGAGCAATAGATCATGAAATGAGAAACCTCATGACATTACCCCTCCCGTCCCTTTACTTACAGAGTCACCGGTTCAAAACTTAGTCCCATGAATGAATTTCTTTCAATCGTCCGGATGTTTATATTATCTTGAATGTCTCTAAAATAAAGTACAGACAAATTAAATATTTACATCCATTTCAGTGTTTGATTACTCTACAAACCCGGCAAGAATACATTTATTTGTCCGCATTCACTAATTTGTGGTAAACACTTTTACATTTTTTTCACCACATCAAAGATTCTGTTCCTTGGCATGGTTGGAATCTTTCTTTTTCCCCCAACCCATAACATCTTCCTATAGAATCAAAGCCCCTTTGAAGCTTATGATTCCTGACAGGAGCAGAGTACCCAGCAAGCTGCTTACCTTTCTTATTGGATAATTTGCCTGCATCAGCCTTACATATACAACTTTATCCTTGATTTTGCACGATAGGGTTTTTCACTGAATTAGTATTTGAAGGCAATCATTGAGAGAGAGCTCCCATTTTTTTTAGTGTATTTATTCTTAGAAATGGAATTGCAGACATTCCGTGGTTTTTCTCGATGAAGTTCTTGGCCAATGGCTCTATGCTGCGAAGGTTCTCTGTGCTGTTGGCTTCCCCTCCGCAGGGGTGTCTGCTCAGCAGGGCAGAGGCAGGGGAGCGCTTCTTTCGTGTCCATGGCAAACTTCTTTTTGGACCTTCGCTGAGTCTCCACCTTCCTCCCGTCTCCACACCGCTCTCACCACTAGTCTCTGCTCCTGCTCTCCTTGGGTCAGAGAACAATATTATCCTTGATTTTGTTCTTTCCGAACAAAGGGATGGAGGAAGCCTCACTTTTTTGGCATGTGTCTCTCATCCGCCATCAAGATTCTTTGGGAGGTGTGTTGTACAGGACAATTCACAAATTCCTTGCCCAGAACAATTTCATGGTTTTCTGTCATTCTTACGCCCTATCCCTCACCTCTTTTTAAAGGTCTGCCAAGAGTTACAATGGAATCATTGGACGTAAAGTTACCTTTGCACCTGGTCTTTTTCCGCTTCCCTTTCAAAACGCAGATATTTTGGAGAAGACCAGCAAGCGTGTCACTAACCTGTCACAGGCATTTGTTTGTTTCTTTATGTTGAAAGGAGTCCGAGAGTTCTGCGGGGAAAGGACTAGGCTGGCAGAGACAGGTAGGTTGCGGAGGGTAGTGTATCAAGTTCTAAGTACCGAAGAGGAGCGATTCCTGATCTTGACACAACTGGCTTCGCTGACAGCGTGTTGAGGAACCTAGTCTGTTAACTTTTCCAAATTGAGGTCATCTGGCTTGTAGGAGACCTAGTGGAAGAGTGGTTATGCATTGGGCTGCTAACTGCAAGGTCAGTAGCTCAAAACTACCAGCCCCTCCTAGATAAAAAGATGGGGCTTTTTACTCCTTTAAAGAGTTACAGTCTTAAAAACTTCCAGTGGGCAGGGGGTGGTGGTGGGGGGAGTTCTACCTGTCCTATTAGGGTCCTTATGAGTCAGCATCAGCTTGATGGCAGTGAGAGGTAAAACCAAAGATACTTATTTCTTGCCTTCTTATCTTTGCTCATGTACTACCTGAGCAACACATTTGGAGAAGGTAGACTACACCATGCATATTACAGTCCAGTGGCTGCTCGGTAAAATGAATACTGTATAAAGAGCTGCTAGTCAGATAAGAAAAACTTACAGTAAAACCTTTTGCAGAGATTGAATCTTGTGAAGCGCTGGCAAGTGCTTAATACCTGTGTTGGATATTAACCTAGAGAGAGAGAACACGAAAGTTAGGAAAAATTAAACTGGATATTTTAACAATTGTTCAGCTTTGTGCATTGAAAATATCAATTCTGAGTTGTCAGGGAAACCTACTAGGAAATGTCATAATATGCCTGAATCATTCATGCTTACACATTGTATTTAAAGATTCCAGGCAAGGTTTAGCAACCCATTGGTTCTTTAAAGAAAAAGAAATGTACGCTTCAGGCACAGGGGCTAGAGTGCCTCAATACAGTTTTGTTTAAAAAAATATATAGATAAAATGCAGTGATCCAGAAATAACCTTCATGGGATGCTGTTGAGATTAGAGAAGGGAGCTGAGCTCAGAATGCATGCAACCACAGTTGGTCAATCGGACACTCCCTCGATCTAGTTTACAGGAGTTACCACCTATTAATTCCTATGGCTGAGATTTCCAGACACTCTGGATTCATCCCAAGACCTGCTTATATTGGCTTGAGTTTGTCAGGAAGCAGACCCTGAGATGAAGACTGGGCTATAGGGAATATATTTGATAGTACAAGTTTAGAGAGTTTGGGATATGGAGAATGAAACAGGGAAAGATGAGTTATTGAGTTGACCGTGACTATTGGTGATTGGTACTCAATTCCAAGGACTCTGAGGAGGTTTCAAAAATACTTTTTTCCAAACTGTTTGTTTGGGGATCATAGGGTGTGTCGGGAGAAGCATTTTTCCCCACAGACTCTTATTTCTGATTCGTCAAGGCTCAGCATACAGATTGAATAGGTAAGGTGAGAGGATACAACCCTGGGGTACACCTTTCCTGATTTTAACCATGCAGCATTCCTTTGCTCTGTGTGTACAACTGTCTTTTGATACGTATACAAGTTCCACAGGAGCACAATGAGGTAGTCTGGAATTCCCATTCATCTAAAGCTATCCATAGTTTTTTTTTGGTTTTGTTTTTTAAGATCAACACAGTCAAATTCCTTAGTATAGTCAATAAAACACAAGTAAACATTTTTCTGGTGCACTACGCTTTCAGTCAAGATCCGTTTGATAACAGCAATGATATCCCTTGTTCCATATCCTCTTCTGAATCTGCCCCGAATCTTTGGATGCTCTGTGTCAATGTACCGAGGGAATGATTGTTGGATGATCCTCAGCAAAATTTTACTTGTATGTGATATCAATGACATTGTTCTATAACTTGAGCATTCTGTTGGGTGACCTTTGTTTGAAATGGGTACAAATATGGACATTTTCCAGTCAGTTGGCCAAGTAGCTGTCTTCCAGATTTCCTGGCATAAATGAGTAAGAGCTTCCCGAGCCTGTTGAAACATTCCAATTGATATTCTATAAATTGCTGGAGCTTTGTTTTTGTCTAACACTACCAGTGCAGTGTGAATGTTTTTTCTTCAGTATTATTGGTTCTTGCTCATATGCTACCTCATGAAACAGTTGAATGTTTAACCAGTGTTTTTTGGTTTTTGTAGAGTGACTCTGTGTTTTCCTTTGATATTTCCTGCATTATTTGATATTTTGCCCATACAATCTTTCATGATTGCAATTCAAGGCTGGACTATTTCTTCAGTTTTTTCAGTTTAAGATGCTAAGAATGTTCTTCCCCTTTGATTTTCTAATTGTAGGTCTTTGTACTTTTCATTATATTTGTCTTCTTGAGATTCCCTTTGAAATGTTCTATTCAGCTCTTTGACTTCATTCTTTCTTTCATGTGCCTTAACTACTCTATGATTAGGAGCAAATTTCAGAGTTTTTTCTGACATATATTTTGATTCTTTCTTTCAGTTTTGATTTCTTCTGTCAGTGTTTAATGCAACAAATCTGTTCTTTATATGTTCTCTAAATTCTGGTGGGAGAGACTCATGGTCATATTTTGGCTCTCATAAACTTATTTTAATTTTCTTCAACTTCCACCTGAGCTTGCATATGAACAATTGAGTGTGTGTTCCAGAGCCAGCCCGTGGCCTGGTTTTAGCTTCTGGTATTGAGCTTCTCCATTGTCTCTTCTAACAGATGTAGTCAATTTGATTTCTATATCTTGCATCTAGAAAAGTCTATGTGTATAGTTGCCTTTTGTGCTGCCGAAAAAAATTGATACTTGCTATGAATAAATTGTTGAGCTTGCAAAATTCTGGCATGTAATTTTGAGCTTTGTTTCTATCATCAAGAATAGATTTTCCAACCCCTGTTCTCTTTCCCACTTTGCACTCCAGTCACCAATAATTATCAATGCATTTTGATTGCATGATTGATCATTTTCTGACTGATGTTTCTGGTAGAATTCTTTCATTTCTTCATCACTAGCCTTTGTGGTTCCTTTTTAAGTTTGAATAACATCGGATTTCCTTGAAGGTGGATAGATGTGATCCTATCACAAACAGCAAATGAAGATCCTGAAGGATCCACTCCCACAGGCTGTACTCCACTTATGTCATCTGCCATATTTTCAGTGCATTCTGATGCAAGGGGCCCATCTTCCAGCACTACCTCTGGCACAGTTCTGCTTCGATTCACTGGGCCTTCCGTATTTGACAATATTTCCATACCATGCAAAGGATTTTGAGGGGTACTTACTCTTGAATGGTAGCCAATTCCTTCTCCATAGTCTACTCTTACTCTGGAAGCTCTGCTGAAACGTATTCACTTTGGGCGTCTCTGCTGGTATTTGAAATATCAGTAACATAGCTTCTAGCATCACAACATGTAGACTAACCCAGTAAGACAAACTGTGGTGTATAAAAGTAAAATACAGGGGGAAATAGGGAAATATCTAAAGAAGGAAATAAAAATCATCTGTAATTTAACTACCCAGAGAGGCTTTCTGTTAACATTTGAGGTTTGAAGCTTTTACCCAAATGAATAATTTTCACAGTTGTTCTTCATAGCCCCTGAGATTCTGTTCATTTTTAATAGGAACATTGCATAACCTTAAATACCCTCTATTCTTGCCCAGTCTTATGTTAATCATATCTAGTCTTCTATTAGTTTTTATATCTCTTCCCATGGGTCTATGTTGAATTCCTTTAATCATAAATCAAAACAGGGAACATATTTAATATTCTCTGACAATCTCATACTATTATGTGCTTGTTTGAAATTAATATGTGCTCAACTATTGGTTTAATTTGTTGATATTTCTAAAACATTTCTTCCTGTGGCCACCAGGAAGGTATCAAAATTTACTTGTCAGGTATCACTGCTTGGAGAGGGTAATTATTGCTGGAAGCCAGGAGTCCGAAGAACCTACATGTCAACTCTGTCATGAGTTAGACACACGCCATTTCATTTCTCTAGACTAGGAAGAATGTGGGCTGCATGGATCTCAAAGGTAAAAACATATCAGATACATGTTGTACCCTTCCTGATATCCTTTGCTCCATCATTTACTTCAGCCATTACCATGGCAACCAGCTGTACACCAATTTGTCTCGGTAGACACTTGCCTTAGCTACAGACTTCTCTTTTTGTCTCCTGGAATTATTTGCCACCTATGAGTTGGGGCCATACAGGAACTTGCTCAACCGTTTGAGACCTGTGAAAATTTATAAGTGAAAGGAGTAACAAAAATTTAGCAATTCTTTTTTGTTTGTTTGTTTTTTAAATTTAGCAATTCTTGACTACTGGTGACTTCCCCTCTTCCATTCTGTGGGTTAGCAATATGAAGATATATTTCACATAATACTTGATAAGGGCATTAGCATGATTGAGCTCAACTTTCCTGGTGGAGCTCAGTTTGGTAATATACGCTTGGATTTTCTTTCTTTTTTATTTTTGTTTGTTTTCCTCTTCCTAAATCATCCTGCTTTTCCTGAAGTGTGGATTGAAAAAACAAACTACCTGTATGTAAGTCCTCGTTAGGGTTTTGGTGGATCATCTGCACTGAGCTCCACAGTTTACACAGACTCTTTGGGGGTTGCTATCACCCTTGACCTCCTATCTTTCTCCAGTTGTAGTTGAGCTCTGTTTCTCTTCCTTCTTTCAAAGCCAAGTTTCCAGGAAGAGTTGTTTATTTAATGTCTTCATTTTTTCATATCTCATTCATCTTGCTCCAATCTATGTTTCTTCCACATCTCTTCACTGGAACTAATCTTAACATACACTCAAACCTTCCTCACCATCAAAGTCAATGAACACATACTTTTTGTTTTATTAACCCTTTCAGGAGCACTCAGTACTCACTGCCAGTTTCTTTCTTCCACTCATTTTTATTATATTCACTCTTCTGTTTTTTACTCCATCAACACTTTCTCTCCGTTTTCTTTTTTCACTCCCTGCCCCCTTACGCCTTCATCGGTACTCTGTCTTTTGCGTGCTCTCTCTCTCTCTCCTCACTCTCACTCTCTCTCTAGCCTCATTAGGCATATTTTATATCCCATGACTTTAAGTACTATCCATATGTGGAAAACTCTTAGGTTCATACTTGCCTACTGAATTATAGTACTGTATATCGAATTGAAGCGTACTTGATATATCTTCTGGGTGTCTTATCATAACAGCACACTAAACTTACTGCCCCAGTACCTCCTCCACCAAACTGTTCCTCTTCAATTCTTCCACAAAGAGCACCGCCATCCATAAAGTGTTTGCTAGAAATATGAAAGTTTTATTTGTTTTGTCCACCATCCTCCAATATTCAATCCATCTCAAAGTTCTCTTTGATTTCATTTTCAAATAGTTCTTTATGTAGTATCCCTCATCTCCACGTATACAATTTCAGAATATGACACTACCACATTTCTGCTGGAGTTCTGTAATAGTCTTCTAACTTCTTTCCACACATTCAATCTTGTCCTCTTCCAATCCATTCTCCATATAGCATACAAAATATCCTTTTAAAAACAAGTAAATCAGTTGGTTTTACTCCTCTTCTTTAAATGATTTAGTTTCATTCCTATAGCATTCAGGACAAAAAACGTTGTACTTCTTAATGTCTGGTTTTCCATCCTTGTCCCCACTTATTCCCTAATGCACTTCAGCCCCTGTGACTTTCTCTCAGTTCTT